AACCACTATGCTACCAGAGCTCCATATATATATATATATAACAACAACAACAATACTAGCTTAAATAGCATTCTAAAATACCAGATTGGTTTGTGTACTCAACTATTTAAAATTGCTTAGGATATAAGTCTAAGGACAAAAGACAAATGTGAAAATGTCAAAAATTAAATTTAAGAAGTTTTATAATGCAGTAGGTATAATGTGGTACAGCTTAAACACCGGGAATTTATACATACAAAACTTCCACCAATAGCTTACATTTCACAGTAGGTACAACAAATATATTTACCAACTGCAAATCTATCAACTCAGGTGTTTGATGTTAAGTGCCATTCAGTCATTTCTGACTCATAGTGACTCTATATAGAGTTTCTAGGGAGCAGCTGGTGAGTTTGAACCGCCAACCTTGCAGTTTGAAAGACTTTGCGGTCCAGTGCTTACCTTACAGTGCCACAATTCTTCTAAAAAGAGATATGGTTTACATTGAGAGACATGGGAAAGCAGTCATGAAGTCAGACTGCATGATTGAATAGGATGATCACTTTAGAACCCAAACTATAATATTTATAATAATTAAAAGAAATGCAATTTCCTTTTTTAAAAATTTCAGATATAAAAATGGTTCCAATCAGCTCAAAGAGATACTGTTGTCAATGAGAATTTATTCAAACGTGAATAAAGGAAAAGCAAGCATTACAAAGGAGCAGTTTAATTGTAGATATGAAAAAGACAACTAGTCCATCTTTTATGATTTAGTAACTGCTAAAAGAAATAGTACATTTATTTACGTATAGCAAAAGCACAATGAACAATAGCAAAGCCATTTTTTCATCATTTTAAATGAATACTAAATATCAAAAAAAAAATTTATTTAAGTACTAAAAATACGATTCCCCTAAAATACAATTTACTTTATAGTTCCTTCCAAATTATCCTAAATTAGTTGCTACAGTATAAGAATAATGGAACAAAATGAGTAATCCATCTATTAAGTACTTACTGAATCCTATGATAGAACAAATGATATTTTTAAGAATTCTTAATAGAGCATTTTAGCACTCTTTAATAATTATTTTAAATGCACACGTACAAACTGGCTTAAGTGTTCATTCAATGGGTACATCTTAAATGTCAAGTGATCATTTTAATTAGAAGTGCTTTCAGAAGAAAGCCAATTTTAAAACAGCAAAATGTTTAGTCCTCCAAATAGCTGAGAAAACCATAAAGACAATCAGAAGACTCTTACTGTCGCAATTGGCCCGTCGACATGATAGTCAAGGCTGAAGACGTCCCAGCCAGTATCCCCCGGAGAGACCTGAAGCAAGACAGAACAGTTACAACTATTGGTAAAACTGCCTACCAGTGTGACTGCTCAATCACCTGTCTACTCTTCAAAGAAAATACTGCCCAGTTGTTAAGACCGCTTAACAGTAGTTCATCATTGGTACCAGAGCAAGGAATTAAGCTTTTAGTCAGCTCCCGCATTCTCAGCATTTAGATAATGATTGGAGCATGGAAAGCACTCTACAAATATTTTGAATGAATACTGCAAATATATGTAATTATCTTTAGGACAAAAACCCACTGCCTTATAACATTCTTCAAATCCTCTGAGCCGTGGTGGGCTTGACCCTCCAACCTTATAGTTAGCATTCGAGTGCTTACCCTATCACGCTGCACCAGGACATCAAGAGGACCGTTCGTTACAAGTACACCAATAATGTGTATATATACTCATAAGAAAAGCTATCTACCAAGCAAAAACTGAAAACCTGTAGCACTGGACTGCGAACCACAAGGTCGGCAGCTTGAGTCCACCAGCTGCTCCGAGAGAGAAAGATAAGACTTTCTGTTTCCACAAAAGATTTAAAGCTTGGAAACCCTACACAGGGTTTCTATGAGTCAAAACCAATTCCATAACACTTAACAATAACAAATTTGGTAAACATTATTATTAGCATCATTTCTTAGGCTTCCTGAGCCTCAGGTGTGGCACTGGGGGTTAATGCGCTAGACTGCAAAGTTGGTTTGAACCGTAAGATCGGCAGTTCAAGCTTACCAGCTACTCCTCAGAAACCCCATAACCGACTTGACGGCACTTTACAGCAACAACTTGGGCTTCCTATTAAACCAACTATAAACAGAACTATGACTTACTAAGCATTTACTATGTGAGCATACTGGTTACGAATCGGATTGTGAACCGCAAGGTGAGCAGTTCGAAACTACCAGCTGTTCTGTGGGAGAAAGATGAGGCTTTCTGCTCCTGTAAAGATTTTACAGCCTCGGAAACCCTGTACAGGGTCGCTATGAGTCGGAACCGACTCCACGGCACATAACAACAACAACATGGCACTATGGGATAAAGCAGAGGACCACAAGGTCAGCGGTTCAAACTCACCAGGTGCTCCTTGGAAACCTCACACAAGGTAGTTTACATGAAAAATATGAGTTAGAATACCCTGCTCTTAGAGCTCACTGTGTTAAACCCTACCCCAGCCCTCCAAAACTGTCATTTTAAACAGAGAAAATGAAAATACCTCCAGGAGCCGAACATCCAGTCTTTTGAGAATTTCAGGACTATCGAACTGTGCGTTGGTTGCTCTGACAGCAGTTTCAAGAATTCCCGTCAAGTTATGTTGATACAAAGTAGTAGCTGGTCGGACAAGTTCTGGTCTAACGAATTTTTTTTGAATTACAGAAAATGTTACATGAATTGTTAATGAACTTAAAAACTTAATAGTTATAAAAAGAGTTCAAATTATAAAACCTGAAGGCAAATGTGACCCAAACTATAATGTGCTACCAAATGTTTCATAGCATTAACTGTAAATAGAATTTTCCAATTATTGAGTAAAATACTTATATAAAGTCTCAAAAACATCAACTTGAATTAGTTAACATGGAAAATACTTATAAGTATCACACATATTAACAAATAAAATTTTCAAACTTAAGATTGTCTTAAGATTAGCATGGACTATTATAATTTCCTTTATGAGATCTAATGGGGGGAATGAGATGTATTCATTAAATTACAGAGAACCATTAGATATGTGGAAGTCATGATACTAAACGGTTAAGAATGACTACATTATCATAAAGGTTACTGATATCCATATATCTGAATACGCAGGTAACATTTCTCTGATCCAGACTTCAGCAAGATTAAAGGCGATCATCCTAAAACATACAGGGGGCTACAAAAAGTTTCTGGAAATATATTATCTTTTAATTAAATTTTTTCAAAAACTTTTTGAAGCCTCCTTATACATATAAATTCTATCAATCCACAGGTCTTTAGAAACCAACCTGCCTACAACAGGCAGAGACAAGGTCAAAAAAGTACAACATAAACTTTCTCAACATAAATCTGAGGCAAGCTGGTGATCTACTGATGTCTCTCTCCACTTTGAAAAATGTGAAATTTAAAACACACCTTTGAGAAAAAATAATTTCTGTCATTTAATAGCAAAAATGAGATGCTCTAAATATTCAACTTTGATATAAGGCAAATCTGTAACATACTTAAATGACTTGATACACAATCTGTTTTCATGTATCTCTACAATACACTGTTAAGAAATGACCTGCTAGGAAGGAGACTGTAATCACTGAAAAGCTAATCTCTACATCCACCACCTTCTCCACCTTCACTCTCCCCACAGTAACTTCATGAATCTTCACTTCCCATATCCTTACAGGCGCTCACTCTAAATTTTTAGCCCTATACATTTAAAGAACCTTTCAATTTACAATTCATCATTGCTCAAACGTCAAACAGGTACTGATACCATACCCAGTACTTATTCTTGTCGTAAACCCCTTATTTACTTAAAGTATACAAATGCTACTTCAATAAATATAACCACAAAGCATTTTATATTTAGCAGACGATTAACTTTCATGGGCTAAGTGATGTAACAATTTGACAATGTCACTCATGAACATGAAGAAAAAGATGAGCTAAGGCATGTGTCTCAAAAGAAGAAAGTGTTTTTCATACTGAAAACTGACATCTGGTAAGAAGAAGGCAGCAATGCATTAGCAAAGGTCTCAGAGCACACAGTCTCCACACTAGCAACATCGGCTCCCTTCTTAGGTTGTTGCTGTTAAGTGTCATCGAGTCAATTCTGACCCATAGAGACCCAGTATAGGGTTTCCAAAGAGCATCTGGTGAGCTTGAATCACCGACCTTGCAGCTCAAATGACTTCACAGTTTGACGCATTAGCCCAAAGCTCCACACCAGGACTCCTTCCTAGCAGTTCAAGCTCAACAGGCACTCCTCGGAAAACCCTATACAGAGTTGCTGAGCCAGAACCAACTCGACAACACTTAACAATAACAGAACTGTGTATCTGTATCACTACAGATGAAGGGAATAGACACACAATTAATTCTGAAATAGAAGATGATATAACGAATGTCAGAGGGGTGGGGGGTATTATTTTTTTTTCTTTCCTGACATGAAACAACATAAACTAAAAACATGAAATTAAAAGTTGTTTTAAAATACACACTTTAGCTTTCTGATTAATTTCAAACTAAAGCTAAGGTCCATTTGAATACATCATAAATGTCTTAAAAAGACTGTAAGTGCCACAGTGTTATCAAGGAGTTAAAATATTTAATATTAATAAGCACAGCACTGCTGGGAGCCATAGATAAAGTAAAATGAAGTTTTAACTTTGGAAAATTGTATGTTTTCAAATTTTATTTTTAAGAAATGCTCTATAAAAACCCAACACTTTCTACTTAAGTATTCTTAAAATAAATACTCAAAAATTATAAGGATCTTTCTTTGTCATGTTAAATAATCCACATATTTATAAAATTCAAAACAGGTAGTCTTCTTACTTCAGCAAATCCATTAAATGTCTTATAAAATCTCCTTGTCCAAGAAGTAAGTACCGCCTCATTGCCTGCATGTGGTCCAGCAAGCTGTATTTTTTATTGAGAACATCCAATAGATATTTACTGGTCTCAAAATAAGCTGCATCAATTTTTCCCTGAAATGCATTTTCTAAGTCTGTGAATAAATCTGCAGCTGTAAAGAACAAAAGAGAAAACAATACTTACATACATTATTTGTATTTTAACAAAGCAAATCCAAAAAAGCCTATAGACAGACACAAGTCTATACTAGCACCTGTAAAATTGCATCAATGAAAGACTAAATACAAGCCGTCTGAGGTATATATATTCGGAATACAAAGTAGAGGAACGGCACAGTGAAATGAAAACTCTTAAACATTAGAGTTGAATTAACAGCAGACATTTAAACAGACCTACAAAAGCAACCAGTAAACAGCATTATTTACCTCATGGATACCCAGGTCAAATTATTTTCTACAGTGCTAACTAACTTGACCTTACATTGAAACTCTTGAGTAAAAGTGGTAAGAATACACAAGACTATCAATACTGAATCACTGTACATACCTAAAAGGCATTTTCATAAATCACTCATAAGAATAAACCAAAATACACCAGTAAATGAGCTTCTAGAATTGCAAAGCTCTGTATAAGTTACAAATTCTTACCATGCAATCATACAATAGACTTATTACTAGGTGTCTGCTAAGAAATCTTTCATGCTTTCCCTCTGGTACTTTCATTATTCTGCTCCAACAGCATCATTCAAAAGCATCAATTCTTCTATGCTCTTCCTTATTCACTGTCCAACTCTCACATGCATGTGAGGTTACTGAAAACACCATGGCTTGGGTCAGGCGCACTTTTGTCCTCAAGCTGACATCTTTGCTCTTCAACACTTGAAAAGGTCTTGTGCAGCAGATGTGCCTAATGCAATACATCGTTTGATTTCCTGACTGCTACTTCCATGAGTGTTGATAGTTGATCCAAGAATAAAGTCCTTGATAACTTCAATCTTTCTTCCATTGATAAGAATGTTGTTTACTGGTCCATTGGTAAGGATTTTTGTTTTCTTTACACTGAGATGTATCCCAAACCAAAGGCTACGGTGTTTGATCTTCATCAGTATTTTAAGTATTTTCTGTTTTCAGCAAGCAAGGTTGTATGATTTGCATATTGCAGGTTGTTAATAAGTTTTCCTCCAATCGTGATGCCACATTCTTCCTCATATAATCCACCTTCTCATATACTCCAGGATACAGACACTATTCCTTTTCAATTTGTCATTCCTGGCATGGTTTATTAACCATGAGATTGTCAGGTTCAACATGGCCAATACCAATCCATATCAGCTCCCTAAGGCCTAGGATGGGACTCCCAGTGTGGCGCTGTACGATTTGCACTGGACTGTAAACCACAAGATCGACTGTTCAAATCCACCAGCTGCTTTCAGAAACCTTACTCAGGGTCGCTATGAGTCAAAACCAACTCAACAGCACTTAACAATATTGCCATGGATATTTATCTTTATACATTCAATTTCATTCTAGGAAGCTTCCTATGTTCCTATTTTGTACACACCATGTTCTGATTATTAATGGCTGTTTACAAGCTGTTTCTCCTCATTTTGAGTTGCACCCCATAGGTAAATGAAGGTCCTAAAAGCTTTACTCTATTCACGTTGTCACGGTTAACTACTTAGAGGGGGCAGCTCTTCCCCAGTCCTACTGTGAGTACCTTCCAACCTGAGGGGCTCAGCTAGCAGCCCTAGACCCAACACTATTCTGCTGTTCTTCAGGTGTTGACAGCGCTCCACTGTTAGTCATCAGCTTTTCAGGGACTCAAGATTCAGAAGTCGTCGGTCTCTCCTTCGTCCTAGTTTGGAAGCTCAGCTGAAACCGGTCTACCATGGGTGACCCTCGAGGGTGGGGGGGTGGTTATATGCCGTAGCGTCTGTTCCAACCCACAGTGACCCTATACAGGCTTTCCGAGGCTATACATTTTTACGGGAGCAGAACGCCTCATCTTTCTCCCACAGAACAGTTGGTAGTTTCGAACTGCTGACCTTGCAGTTTGAGGCCTGATTCGTAACCACTATGCTACCAGAGCTCCTATGGGTAACGCTGCTGGTATTTAATATACCGGTGGTACACCTTACAGAATCACAACACACAAACCACCACAGTATGACAGACTGACTGACAAGTGGTGGGTCATTAGCCATTGGGGCTGGTGATGATGGTGTGCCGTGGAGCCAGTTCTAACCCATAGCGACCCTGCACAGTGTTTCTGAGGCTGTAAATCTTTATGGGAGCAGAAAGCCTCATCTTTCTCCTGTGGAACAGCTGGTAGTTTCAAACTGCTGACCCTGAGGTTAGCAGCCTAACTTGTACCCATTATACTATCAGAGCTCCTTGCCATTAGAGATGCAAATCAAAACAACAAGGATATATTATCTCACACCAGACTTAACTGTTGTTGTCGTTAAGTGCCAATGAGTTGGTTCAGACCCACAGCGACCCTATATAAGGTATCTGAGGAACAGCTGGTGACTTTGAACCACCGACCTTGCAGTTCAAATAGCTTTACAGTCTGGTATGTTAACCCACAGTGCCATACTAGGACAGAAAACAACAAATACTGGAGAGGGTGTGGAGAGATTAGGACCCTACTACATTGCTTGTGCTAAGGAGCTCTGACAGTGTAGTGGTTACGAGTTGGGCTGCTGACTTCAATGTCAGCAGTTCAAAACTACCAAAGGTTCCGTGGGAGAAAATTAAGGCTTTCTGCTCCCGTAAAGATTTACAGCCTCAGAAATCCAGTACAGGGTCGCTATGGGTCGAAACTGACTCGACAGCACTTAATAACACCAACATGGCTAGTGCGAGTTTAACCACTTTGGAATAGAGTACGGCACTTTCTCAAAAAGTTGGAAAGAGAAATACCATATAACCCAGCAATCCCTCTACTTGGTATATACCCACAACAAATTCGAGCCAGGACACGAGTAGGTATCTGCACACCGCTGTTCATCTCAACACTATTCACAAGAGCAAAAAGATGGATGAATGGATAAAGTATGCAATGATGAAGAATAACCATGACTCTGCAAAACATAACACAGATAAAACAGAGGACGTTGTGCTGAGAGAAGTTAGTCAATCACAAAAAGACAAGTATTGTAAGAAACTACTATTGTAAAAACTCAAGAAAAGGTTCTCATGCTAAAGGAAACATTCTTTAATGGTTACCAGGGATGGGAGGGAAGGCAGAGTACTTCATTAGCTAGATGGGAGACACATGTTTAAGTTCTGTGATGGGAGAACAAGATACACGAGGGAAGGTGGCAGAAGAACGTTAAGTGAAGACCCAGGAAGGTATGCAAGGGCTAAAGGGATGAACTAGTGTTATATACACAACCTTGGAACAACAGTGTTCTGCAGGTAGATACTTGGATAGAGACACAGGTTGAATGAATATGGAAGGAAGAATGGAACTATACCCGAAAACATATACAGGTTTGAAAGAGGGTACTTGTACATGGGTATTTATTTACCTTTGCTAAAGACACAACTATGAATGTAGCAAAGCATACAGCAAGCAAAATGATGAAAACTTCTTAGCTATTACCAAAACCTCTTAAGGGAATGAGTAGCTGGGCTTGGGGACTCAGGACCATAATCTCCAGGGACACCATGGTAAATTGGCATAACATTGTCCACAAAGGCAATGTTCTACATCCTATTTCAGCGAGTAAAGTCTGGGATCTGAAAAGCTTGTGAATGGC